CATAAGCTGGTAAAGAATAGCTGCCACCACAAATCTAACTGTTGACTACCACGCTGCCCATGATGTATAATATGGTGATATTAAATACATGAAACGACTGAACCAATTATTTGCAATATCATTAACAGTGAAAAGCTTTTGTTTTCTAATTTAATTTAAACTTATAATTGTTTTAGAAATTATTTAGAAAATATAAATAGGTGACTTATTTGCATTTAGTTTGGTGCAATGGCATGAGCATGATTCAAGTTATTTATTTGGCTTAGTAACATGCTAAATAACTGGGAAACACGTTGTTGTTAGGTTGAAGTTATACTCATATAGTGTATTTTTCATCATTTGAATAAGGATGGCAAGCCATTCTCTAAACATGAGTATAAAAGTTTTGGGGCTGGGACTAAATATAATTATATTATCAACAAAAATTCACAACTTTATATCAGTCAAAAGATAATTAATGTTTATGAAATTAACTTGGGAATTTTTATTTTTCTCTATATATCATCGTTTAATTTTAATAGAACTTGAGTGAGAAGTGATAAATTTTTGTTTTATTTAAATCATAGCTTTTAACAAATTTACATCATGTCACGACTATAAGCTACAAAGAAAATTATGGTTACAGTATAAAATTGTTGAGTAGTGTGAACATTTTTGTCATTCTCATTGATCATCATCAATTTACAATGATTTTCAATAGGAAAATGTTCAAAACGATGACTTCAACTTTTTGCTTCAGTATCTATCATTAATCATGAAGTTTGTATTTTCGTCTGTTGCTGATACTTCATTTTATTTTATTGATTTGTTTATCTTTTTTGATGATTTACAGAAAAGATATTAGCATATTCTGGTCACTGAGCACTAATATGAAGCTCGCTACATTCAACAATTTCTCAGAAAAGGTTAAATAATATACACCTTTTTAAAAAATTTGTCATGTTTCAATACATATGAATATTTTTTCTTTTATTGATCATCACAATCACCTGACTTCAACATTTAAAATTGAAACCTGTTCAACTATTGTATCTTTTGACTAGCACTAATGAGAGATTTTGCTTTTGAATTCTCTTATTCTTCATGCTAGCCTAGGTCTAATGGTATGCCTAGTTTTGTTTTCAGAACTTCATATCTGTCCCTAGTTTATGTTCTTCAATCAAACACTTCTGACCCACGTTTAGATCAGATCATGGCTTACAATTTTTGTATTTCACTCTTGATTTATGTATCTTTTTCATGTCCACTATATAACATTCTACTAACAACTCTCTTCTCAAACTCATATTCCCTGCCAGCTATATTAATTGCAATGATCTGTTAAAGCAAGTTTTAAGTTGAATAAATTTGGAGTTATAATTATTAAACTGGTACCTCGCAGATAATATTATGCACAGTTGATGACAAACATTTTGACTTGGTTTATCCTCTAGAGTATGTGGCTTCCAATGCACTTTGCCAATGTTAGTTCATCAACATTGCTACTTCATTATCTCTCATATAAACTACTTTTCTAATTTTTTTCTGAAATGCATTTTATATTAGTTGTTAATGAGTTAAATTCAGTAGTTGGAATATTTATGATGATATATATATATATATATATATATATATATATATATAAATTAATGGTTGACATGACATTTATCGCTAATTTTAAGATTGTGTGTGAAAAAATTCTTTGAAAACAATTTTACTGAAACCTCTTTTGAAACCTTGTCAGCTGTGGTATATGAAATTCTGTACGAGAATGTGTTTGGAGTGACTGATTGCATGGGCAAGTCAAGGGAGATGATGAAAAAAGAGCCAATAACGCCAAAGACTCCATTCATGTAGGGGCAATAATTTTTTAATTTCATCTCATATTGATTTTAATTTTTCATATGTTTAAAAATTTTATAAAGTTCACCATAAAATTCATATGTTTATAAATTTTATGGTGCTGATATTTATTTATTAATTTAATCTGATATCATATTTTTTTTTGCTTTTTCACAGCCCAGTTGGTCACTTTTTCCCAAATTCACCATTTGATATGAATGGCAATTATGTTAGATTTGTTTTATTTAATTTTTTTTAATACTTTATATTTTTGCTTCAGTTGCTTAAAATGTCTTTAAATCATTTGGAAAATAATTTTGAGATGTTTAACTTGATGCTCCTACTTGGGACAACTATGGGCTTTTCATGATATCCATGAGCTGTGCATTGATGTTGGAGTATCAGATGATGTGATGTTTGTTAATCATTTATTGGCACATGTACGATTTAGTGCAGGTGTAAGTTTGTGTGTGTGTATATGGAAATATAAGTGCTGTGTTTTTTGATTTTTTCACTAGTTTCTAGGTTTATAAATCTTTATTTCAGTTTTTTTTTATTTAATTATTTTCAAGTTATTTATGGCATTTTTATTGATTTTTTGATCTTTTTGATTTTTATTTTAGCCATGTTATCTCTTCATGATCATAAACAATTTTAATGTCTCTGCTTTAAACAATTTGTCATTTTTAAAATACTTGCTCTGTTGGGAGAAAAAAAATTACCTAAATGCTGAAAGTTACCATAAGTAAAAGAACAAGGCCTGAATAGAGGCAATATCAACAGTCTTGGCTAAGACTTTAGCATAAAGTCAAGGATGAGTGAATTGTACCTAACTAGAAGTTGAAGATTAAAGCACAATGGGAAGGATGATCTGGTTTTGAGGGTGTGAATTGGAGGAACTGATGGGGAATGCCAAGAAACATAGCCTAACATAACTGAATGCTAAGGAACTTTACTTCAGATATGCGGATGGCCCAGTGAAAGATGTTTAACAATGGCATTCATTGCCAACCTGGTTTAACGCATTAATGTTTTCAAATTAAATTATAATTTTGCAAGTAGGAAGTTTCGGTAAAAATCGTGTAGTCAGCTTGTAGTTGAAACGAGAAGGTTGTTTATTGTCAGAAGTTGGATTGATGTGAATATTAAAAACAAAGGGAATTCCTTTAGATAGGTTGAAGAGGGGTGGAGAATATTTGGATGAATCTATCAACATTCAATTATGTTTCTATTATATTCTTATTTGTCATTTATAAATCCTGCATGTTTTCTAATAATGTCCTTAGGTAAGAACAGCTTTTCCATACAAAGTGGCCAAGTCTCTGGCTGTTGATATTCTGAGGAATGTGGAATATGATGCTTGGTTGGAATCAAAAAGGGGTTATTGTTTGTTAATTTTTTTCAAAACTTTCTTTAGTTTTACTTTTTACCGCTTTTTCTACTTTCAATAATTTATAAAATTGTAAAAGTAATTCAAGTAGTTATTGTTGTCACTGTCTTTACTACAGCTCGAAACTACAGTTTCTATTCTCATTTTGATAAAAATGTGCCTGTTCCTGGTGACAAATGTCAAGTAAGATTTGATATTTGTAATTAAATTAATTTAAAATTTAATTGCACACAGCATTGATTCTTATCATATGCGTGTGATCCATTAGTTGGGTTGATATGTTTAAGCAAAATGATTGTATTTGGGCTTGGTGCAATTTGACTAACTTATCATATTGTACACCAATAGCAAAATTTAGATTTATAAAGTATTAGCTGTTAAATCATGATATGTTTGTGGAATTCATATATTTTAATGGGAATTGGGATAAGTGATGTTTAAATGATTAGAAAATATGTTGTGACAAACAGCTCCAATACTCATAAGTTAGAAGAAAAAAGTTTAAATCTGGTGCATATAAAGTTGTTGAACACTACCTGGAACGTACTTGAAATTTGTGATAATGTCAAACTAAATTTCTCAAAAAACAAACTATGTGTAATCATCGTTGATTACCGTTTATAATAGTAGTTATATTCTGAGTTTGTTGTCCTGATGCATTTCTTCAAACGGTTATGATGATATATGCATGAATTATATTTTCAGGTGATCCTGCCAAATCACAAGGATGTATCTTTTGATGCTCACATTCAAGAGGTTCAACATGATAAAAATCGTGTGGTTGTCTTTGTTGAGGGTCTTGGAGAAAAGTAATTTAATTTTCATTAATTTTGTTCTTGATGCTCATAGAATAATATATCATCTTTTTAATTTGACTATAACTGAAAATTCTAATGAAGAGTAGCCACTCAGCATCAAGTAGTCACACCTTAAACTATGGTGCAATATTTTTGTTAGCCAAATATTTACATTTGGTTAACTAAAAACATAACTAAATGATGCTGAAATAACGTAGGGGTCTCCAAGTTTATGCTGTAACTGTTTAGAATGACAAATTTATAGAATGAGTTCAATAAGTTTAGCAAAACTATTTTTTTTCTTCATCTGGAATTTAAGTAAGTGTATTATAGTATGCCTTTAATATCAGTAGAAATCTAATTAGACTTTGGGAAACTTATAAAAATCTGTCAACAAAATCATTGAAATTTTGCTAGCCAATGTTTGTTTTTATATTAAAAAAATTTCTAATACGTTTGAAAAATATTCTTGCAGACATGTTGTCCCATCTGAGTCAGTTAAACTCATCTCTAAATCAAGCCACTTTGGTATCAATATTATGTTTTTGGACTAGTTTGATATTTACATTGCTTTTTATCTCTGATTAAACATGTTGATGCAATCATATAATAATGAAAATAAGTAAAGAATAGACAAGAATATTTAAATAATCATACTTCTATTCTATACAGCAAGTGAGACAACACCATGTGCACAATTTTTATTTATGTTTCATTGTTTGTCAGTCCTAAACTGTCAGTTGAATAATGATTTTCAAATGAATATATACTAAAAATATGTTAATTTAAATTTACCATTAAGTAAATTTTTATAATTGTTCGTTTTCAAGATTTCTTCTGGAGGAAGAGGAATAAAAAGAAGGTTTATTTATCCTATTAGTGATTTTTATGTATTTTTCACATTTTTTAATTGACCTTGAAAAAATTGTTCATGTTATATTAGTTAATCAAGTAATCAATTCTTTCAGAATTTTGACAGCTGTTTGAAAAACATGTCTTGTAACAATGACAACAACTTGAATCAAGCCAAGTCGAGTGCTGTTAAAAACAATAACAACGCTAATAGCGTCAACAACAGTTTTATTAACACGAACAACTCAGGCATTAGTAACAACTGCAACAACAACAGCTCGATCTATTCACATTCATCAAGGATCAATTCTGTTGGACCATCAATGCAATATAATGCACATGACGGGTCTTTTCAAGTTTTTTATTTGATCATTCAAATTCATTTCATTACTATTTTATAACAATTGCTCATTTAGATTATGCATTATAAATGGTTTAGGACTTATGTTTTAATTTATAAGCACATTATCCATAACTTATGTGTCAGGTCGGATTATCGATGCTAATTTAGAATATTTTCGTTTTTGATGTTATTTAATTTTTATGGGATTACATAAAATTTAAATATTTTTTACTTGTTACATGCAATTTTCCACACCACAACTTGCATCTTTTCAAATATAATGCAGTGGTATTAATCAATCATTGGACCTCATCTCTCGTTTTTATAATTCTTGTATTGCCAGTTCATACAACCAGAGCAGATATGCTGCAGGAAAGGATGCTTCCATGGATTGCAAGCAGAAGTTCAAGACGTTAGTTAGGCCAGCTTATCAAATTTTACGAAATTTACCATTTGAGTTTTTGAACATTATAAATTACGATTAAATGAAATGATTTCAATAAAGTGCCAACTTAACGTTAATACATTAAAAGCAAGCGTATGGTTAGTCTTCTTGTGCTATAAGTTTTTAATGTAGTACAATCAATGTATTCAGAGGATTGTATGGAAATTCAAAGAGAGAAGTAAGAAATGGTTCACAATTTGGATGTTGGATCAAAGCAGGAATTTGAAGGTGATAACATTGCAAGAGCAGTGGAAAAATTGGAAACATCATAAGAGGAAAATGATTGGAAGCAATTGAAATTGAGCGTTTTGCTCTGTACTACAGAAAATTATTGGTATCAGCTGGAACCAAAAATGAAAGAGAAAGTCAGAAGAAACCATTCTTTAATAAGAATAGAGTAGATACAAAAAGAGTGATGAAAGAAAACTGAGATATGCTGGATTGCAGGCAGGATTAAACTGCACTAAAATGAGGAAGAGAAAATGTCAAAGATGAATTGAAAACCCTGCTAAAAAATGGATAAATGACATCACAGAGTAAACTTGAGGCGAGAACGGATGTTGAAATCAAGAAATTGATCAAAGTTAAAAAAGAATTTCTGAAATTGACAAAAAATGGATGCAATCGGATTTAATAAAGGAATTGATGGGGATAATTATTAATTGATTTGTTGATTGATTGATTTGTTGATTGATTAATTGATTGATTGATTTGTTAATTAACTGGTTAAGATTCTTAGCAAAATCTTAACAAATATGAACACAGAATGAAGGATCGAAGCTACAGTGAAGGTCATTACAGACCTGAGTACCCTTACGAGAATGGCGATGTTTCTGTAGATGGCGTGCACATGGACGTTGTACACATGGAGGGTGATGTGGACATGACAGGATATGATGATCCTTCCCTGGTGATTCAGCTACTTCTTATTTATTTTCTGAATGACCTTTCCTTCTTGGAATCATGTTGAAACTCAACAGATTTGTTTGTGTTTTAAAGATGATTTTCTGTTTAATGTAATTATATAGTTAGTTAAAATAAATAAGCCACAAAAATTATGAATTTGACTTATAAATGAATAAATCTGTCTGATTCATCTGAAGTTTAATTGTTTTATGTTTTAACTTTTTTGCCCTTTATAAAAGCCTAAGTTCGGAGTTCTTTTGCACTGGTTTTTTTTTACATTTGCAATACTGGTCTAGTGGTTTTATTTTGCATGTACTTGTTTAATATTTGGCTCATTAAATATATAGGTCATCAAGTTTAAGCATTCATCCTATTATCATGTTGCATATATTGAGTGACTAAAATATTTTTTCAATTTTCAAAAAATGCAGAGTGTGTTCTACGAAGGTTGGCATATTGGTTATTTTTGTTATTGATAAACTCGTCCTGGTATGTTCTACCCACGTTCATTTGTAAACTGCATTAACTGTTTGGGAGCATTCATTTTCAAAATAACTTCTTCACCCAATAAAATTTTTGTTCAGGTAAGTTAATCTGGATTTGAATTGTAATTGATTTCATGGCTAGTATTATAGTCTGATACCTTAATCAAACCTGAACACACACACGCTGATATGACTCTATATTAGAATCTGTTTTGTAAGGGCAGCTTATCCACAATGATTTATTTTTCTTCGTAAGCATCCTACTGAAGTTAGTGATGCAAATTAAAAATTTATACCAAAGGATAGGTTTGATTCTGACCAACAGTTCTTTCAATTTAATTTTTCAAGATTTTAAGAAATTAGTGTAGCAATGATAAATAATTGCAAACATTCGCATGTATACTACATAGACGATGAGAACTTGTTAGGCGAGGATGCCTCAACGCCCACTAACACCCATCCACCAGCGCCAGGACAGCAGCAAGCACATTCATCTTCTTCATCTTACCTGATGATTGGAGAGAACATGGTGCGGACTGCCTCTGTCGCCAATGAAGCTGATGCCCCTGCCTCACCTGTGGGCACCAGCACTGATGGAGTCATGATGATGCAGTATCAAGTATGTGTACTCTTTCATGATGTTTGCTCTATGTCGTCTGCTTTCTAGGCTTCATGGCTTATGTTGCATAACCTACGTTGAATACTTGTACATCTGCGCTGAGATGGATGGATGGATGGATAAATTGGAGAAGTAATTGATGGGTGACTGTCTAGAGAGAGTTATGAGTAGATGGACTAGTTGATTGAAAAGTTAATGAAAGAATTGATAAGTGGACAGACAAACAAATCATAATTGATAGATATATATCGCATAGATGAGTGGATGAATGAAGAAATGTGCACAATTTAGATACTGGAGAATAAATTTTTTTATAATTTTTTTTAAACTATCCTGAAATTTTTTTATTTTGAATTGTCTCCTTTAAATAATCATGATTCCACCATTCAACGTAGCATAATTCAATGTTGTATTGATGTTTAAAAAGATTAAATTTGTTTGGTTGTCAACAGATCCCTCAGATCTACGCGGCGTCACCCACGGCAACCAGCTGCATGCTGGTGCCCATGCCCAATGCACACCTGCTCAATTACGACAACTACAATGGACCCATCAACTTCCACTCACCTACATCACTTGATCTTAATGGCACTGATCTACCTATAAATGGTTAGTTGGTTGGTTGGCTGGCTGGTTGATTGACCGATTGGCTGGTAGATTGATCGATTGGCTGGTTGATTGACCGATTGGCTGGTTGGTTGATCGATTGGCTGGTTGATTGATTTGTTGGTTGATTCTTTTTATTGACTATCTCAATGAAAACTTGAGGGATTGAAGGATTGGTTTGATTGGTTAGGAAACAGGTTGGTGTTTTTTTTTACATTGGAGACAATATTTGGTCCTATAGCTGTATTTTATAGTTAATTACTAATGATAAATATTTTGTTGTTTCTATGTTAGAATGTTAGAAAAGTAATTGCTCACATTTTTCTTCACTCAGATATGTCGACCTTGAGATTCTTCTACAACCTTGGGGTCATGGTGAGTTCTCAACTCTTTTGTGTCAGTGTCACGTTAATTTTTTAATTTCGTGTGATGTTAAGTTATTAATGGATTTGATCCATCTACTTTGGTCAATGGCAGTGGTTTAAGGTTTATATCCTTTTCTTATATCCACCTTATTATATGTGTAACTGATGAATCTGCATTAATTTTGCCGATTCCATTGCTCCAATCCTTTTGCTAGTAAGCTTATTACCTTGTTGTAATAAAGTGATGAAGCATACTTGCAGTGCTTAACTTTATAGATATCCACTGCTGATGAACTTTTCCTAGATGTAAAACATGCATCTTGTTTCGTAAATTTGCATGTTCAGACTAACAAATAAATCATTTACACCTTGTCACACATAGAGAAAATTTTCATACATTAACGACAGACATACAGTAGTTGGATGGTGATGCAAGCACCAGCGGCCCACCAGCCTGCCTCCCTCCATCCATCATACATCTGCCAGGCTGCTGCCGCTACTCCTGGAATGTACGTGGCTGCCCAGACTGCCCCCACCATGATGACGTCCGATGTCATTGTGGTGGCCAACAGTGAGGCATATGCTAGTGGTACGTCGCTTGTTGTTCCTCTTGTCTTCTTTATTTAGTTTCTGTCTCTTAATTGGATGACATTGGTCGTTTTGTGATTTTGTAGTCATGTATAGCCTTGAAAAGAAATTTTTTTTAAATCTTTTTTTTTAATCAGTTATTTATTGTTAAGTGAGTTTTTTTTTAGATGATTTGTGAGTAAGTTTTGTAAGATGGTCAAAAGTTAGGACTTGAGATGATTTGAAAATATGAAGAAAAAATGGCCAACAGCAGCTGCTGTCTGAGAATTAGCTGGGCAAGAGCAAATGTAAGACTGGAATTAACTGGAGAAGTTTGTGCTTCAGATGGGTTGATTCTACAACTGGCACAACAGTAATGGGCTGCACAACAAGTGAAACCATGATTATTCAAGATAGATCTTGAAAGAGATTTTGTTAGATATTAATCACAATTGATAATTATTTAGATATTTTCTTGTGGTGTTGATGGGAAGAAAGATTTTTATAATTCAAAATATTGTTGTTTTTTCATGATTGTTCATAGTTTATATTTATTAGTAATATCTTTTTTAATCATTTATTCAATTTTCTGTTTTGTTGACTTTTTTGGTTTAGTTAAGTTGTGTTGCATTCGCTTACGCTATTGGTGGATATATAGAACCTGATTTATTTTGTTTGTATTCTTCAAATTTAAGCGCTTCAAGTATTGTTGTATTGTTACAGACACAGTAGCGATTCAACAATATATTTTTGAATCGCTACTGTGTACTTTGTCGTTGTATTGCTACAGTGTATATTGTTATTTCAATCTGTTCTACTGAAATTTCATTTAGTCTTTTGTGTTGTTTTTATTGTTATTAGTATTTGCAGGCTAATCATATATTATTATTAATATTGTTACTATTTTATATTATTATTATCTGAACATTTGTTTAGGCAGATTATAATATTAAATATTCTCACAGACGCTCTCACACCATATAATGAAAAAATATCATAAATTAAATGTCACAAAATTTTACTACTAGAACATAAATGTACTTTTAACCAAACTTTAATAAATATATTGAACTCCAACATCTCGTCTCCTTTCTTTTGAACAAACCATGAACTATAATGGTGGTGATTGGTCGATATCACTTGGATTGTTACTGCTGCCCAATTTCCATTCTCTGATGCGGACGATTTCCGGCCAGGAAACTTCACTGGCTATCAAATCAGAAAATTTGCTGTCGACACAAGAAATGAAATGAAGTTGATCACTGATCTTTGCCTGCCTTCGCGTTGGCATCGCCCCTGCAAAACAATGGAAAACAGAATAATGTCTCGATGTTGATTGCTTTCAAGTAGTTGGCAATGTCAGTCGCATCACATTTCTGTACGATGCTGACCTGAAAGAAATGCATGCGTCTTTTAACTTTATATGCTGATATTTTGGTCTCATTTGATGGACGTGAGCAGATGACGACGTTTTGTGATGCATTATCTATTTTAGTGTCATTTGAACGTTATATTTTTTATTATATTATTTATGTTGCACTTTAAACCAGCTTTTCTTTTCTCTCTCTCTCTCTCTCTCTCTCTCTCTCCCAATAATCTGATATTTATGATTTTAAGAATATTAACAATAATGTCGACTACGATGATGATTTCGATGATGACGATGTTATATTGTTAATGCAGGTTCCTACATAGGCTCAACAGTAACTCATCAGAATGCAGCCTTCTACTATCAAGGCATATCACCTGGATCACCTTACATCCAGGTCGGTCATCCAATGCAGTACCATCCTGCTGCTGTTTAGCATTGCTTCTTCATTCACCTCTTTATTGATCTCTTCATTTGTCTGACTGACAGTTTTACTAATTGGTTGGTTGATTGATTGATTGATTGATTGATTGATTGATTGATTGATTGATTGATTGATTGATTTATTGATTGATTGATTGATTGATTGATTGATTGATTGATTGATTGATTGATTGATTGATTGATTGATTGATTGATTGATTGATTGATTGATACATAGTTCGATTGATTCGTTCAATTCATGCTTCATATATGTTGATGGATCCGTTGTTGAACATTTTCAACCATCTTCTAGAGAGATTTTGGTAATTAATGAACAGATAAAAAATTTGTTATATATTTATAATATTGTCATACAGCTGGTCATCCAATTTACATCTTCATTTATGTTGTATCATTTGTTAGCTGTGTTGTTTTTCCCAGTCAGTTTCATTTCTAACAATCCCCTCCCCTTTGTTAGTGGATATTTTCATTAACTGACCATATATGCATAATTTTGGTTTTCCTCTGTTTGAAACTACGCACACATATTCATTATATATTCTGTACATGTTTATTTTAATTAACTTGGTAATTTGGTAATAATGATAAACAAATTGCTAGACAAATTGGAAAATATGGTAATAAATTACTAAATGCTAAAAATTTTGTGTATGCGTATATATATATATATATATATATATATATATATATATATATATAATGTGTGTGTAATGTACCTGTGTGTACGTGTATATGCACGTGTGTTCGTGTATCGCTATGTACGTGTTTATACATTTGACCATGATCAATCATAATTGTTGACTTTCAAAATTGGTGTCTTAACCATATTTTATTTTGTCAAAATTGTTATTTTTTCCATGCTACCTTTTTCCCTCACGTTAACTTTTTTATTAGTTAGGACAGCGCTTCTCAACCTTTTGAGGTTCAAGGACCACTTAAATATGTGTGTCTGCCGCGGACCACTACTGAAAATTTGGCTGACTAGTGCACTTGAGATTTATATAATATATATTACGTAACAGCTACACATTGTTAGTATAACATAGTTCTTTGTATAACTATTAGACATGGAGAACAACAGTTATCACACTTGACTATAGGTGCATTAAAATTGTTATTTAAAATTATTATATATTTTAATAAATGTTTTAACTTCAAATTAAAAAGTATTATGTTCGTTTTACATTGATGTTGCAAAGACTTTGCTCACGGACCACCAGGCAAATGAGGTTGAGAACCGCTGGGTTAGGTTGTACTTTTAATTATTTTCAATTATTTCGTTTCTTAGGCATCTCGACGAGTTTAACTGATATGTATAAATCGATAACCAGCCACTTGAATCAACTCCAAACATTTTATATGCAATATTTGTATGTAAGAATTTTTTTAAAATATTATATGTATAGATTTTAATGTTTTTTTTTCTATAATTTAATTTAATCAACGTTTGACTAAGTTAATTAAATTTAAAAAGTTTTTTTGAAATTGTCTCAAATAGGACGTAAAAATTTATTTTCTCCTGGTTTCATTTCATAATTATAAATTATAGAATATTTTGTTTTTCACAGAAGATATTGGTTTCATTTATTTTAATTTCAAATGAAGAACATTCAATTTTTTTTCAATTTGATTCTTGTTAGTTTGTATATATACTACAGATATTATATTTCCATTGTTGTTGTCGGTGAATGTATAATAGTTTACCCTAATGTAAGCCCTTTTCCAAATAGAGGTGGATGGGAATGAGTTTCTTAAAATGACTCCTCACATGATTTCATTTTTAAAATTATTATTTCAAGTTTTATCATTTTCGCATTTATTCTCAATTACATTCTTAGTAAGTCTCACGTGAATGTATTACTACGTTATAATGAGATAATAAATAAATTCATCCACTAAAGTTCTGAAGGTTAGTTTGTTTGCTTAGGCCTTTACCATGCGGTATATAAGTGAGCATGGCATATCTTATAAGCTTTTGATTAACTGATATGACCTTTTTTCTATTGCGAAAGAACTTTTGTCAGTTCTTTATATTTTATTGTTTCAAAAACACTACGGTTGTAATTTTTGATAATTTTAAATTCATATAAATTTCTCTTAGCTGCTTCTATTTTCCTGGTAATGTTTTTTGTGCGGTAGGAAATAATTTTCATGTAATTTTTGTGCAACCATGGGAACTTTATGAAACCGTGATAATACCCATGTTATCATTCCTTGCCCACCTCTGCAGCCAGCCAAGTTGATGATTAAAAAATATAATTTCATTTGCATTCGATTGTTGCAATAAAACAGTGTATTCATCCTTAAAAGTTTTCATCATGTGTTTATATTCGTTGTGAAATTATCTATATTATATTGAATTATGTATTTCCATTTTTGCCTTTTTTCGTGAATAAATAAATAAATTAAATTGTTAGAAATTGTTTTTATTAAACACAAATTTCCCATCATTTACAAAACCTAATAAATATATTTACAAAAAAATGTTATGTCAACAGAAAGTTGGCAGTTTATTTGTCGGTCACAGATATTACGTTATTCACTACTTGCCCTACGCACAACATTCATGTTAACATGTCACAGGTATTAAAATTTCATTGTTCATCTGATCTCTTATTTTTTATGAACTGTCCATCATAGTTTGATTATTCATAACTTCATTTCTTCTCCTTGAATGTTATATGAAATATTTGATTAACTACCCTTACCTGTGCTTGATTTTCCCGATTTGTTTCTGTTTAACGTATCTGTAAACTTCTTCCACGCGTTGTCGGCCTTCTTTGTTGTTCCTGTTATCGGCTGCTGGTTTGTTGGCATGAGATCTTTTTCTATTGCAGGGTTCCTGTTTGTATTATTTGTTGATGATGGTAGTTTGCTTTTTAATTTAGAATCATTTGCATTCTGCTTCTGTTGTTTTTTAACTTTGGATGATGCCGTGGACGATGTTGCGGAAGATAAAGTGCCTAAATTCCACCAGCCGGATCTCTCGAGACCGAGATCTACTATGGAATCCGACTGACTTTCCAGACCTATTCCACTGTCTGCGTTTTCTTCTGTGTTGTCTCCACTTGGTGTTGTTTGTTCTTGTTCCTGTAGCATGGCGGCTAATGAACTTCCCATCTTCGAATCGGCAAAACTGAAGTTGTATATTTTACCAGTGTCATCAGGGGCTTGAACATTGTGGATGTAAACGTAATTTACTTTTGATCTTTGTTTTAATGTGTTGACGGCTTTCTCGATTCGATCTTTAATTTTTTGACCCATTTTATTTTGCCTGCCAAATGACCGTTTTTCTGAACCATCGTTTCCTGTTGTCGTGATAGGTTGCTGGTTCATTTGATATTCTCTCTGTGAGCTTGTTTCAACTGTAGCATCTTGAATGGTATCGTACACATTTTTGCCATCGTCATCAGGGAACTGAGGTTTCATTGAGTATAACTGCTGACTTGGATCGAGAGGGTAGTTCCCTGGGTACGTTCCATCAGCATTTTGCATGGCTTCCTGAGGATCATCGTCATCTTTGAGATATTGTGAGTAATCTTCGCCACCGTACTCTCTGTAGACGGAGGGAGGAATGGTCGAATCGTAGTAGTTTGAAGCATCATCTTCTTCGCCGAAGTCAAAAACTCTTTCTTCTTCAGCGAGTGAATCATTATCTGATGTTGAATTTTGAACTTTGGGGGTTTGCAGTTGGTCCATGTTATCATTCGTTTTTGAAATATCCATTAAAATCAAAATTTTGTTGTAAACAATTTATTATTTAATTGTCGCCAAGCTTAACGGATTTTTTACAACGTTAATTCTATCGTACTAAATCGAATCATTCATGATGTTTAAATCGCAGTGAAAGTCGACTAGAACTTTTACAAAACGAAAAATAGTCTTATATTAAATTTGAACAAATATTTAAATGTTTTGAAATAAAGTTGAATTGTACACTAAAATTTGAGTGATATTACAATAAGTTGAAAGCTCAGTACTTACTCCCATTTATTTTAGCGATTCATTTATTAATATTTATTCATGGGCCAGCATAACAATACAAGCTGTCTTCAGATCAACGAAGCGTTAACAGAGATCTGGCAGCGTTTGAAAACATTGCTGGTTAGTTGGCTTCTTTCTTTCTATCTCTCACTGATACTGTTGTATCTGGCTCGCCAAACTTTGTTTCATTCATTGTTCTATTGGTTAAATCAGATGTATTGATACCATGGTGTCCGCACTACAATGTAGGGAAGAATAATGCGATGTAATGAAAGCAGCAATTAGTGTTTGTGCTTACTATGAATTTTGTTCACGTTGTTACGTTATGTGTACGCTTTTGTTATTTTGTAGAAGTTTGTGTTCATTCTTTACTATATTTATTTGTTAATTATTTCATCGTCTTTCTCATATTTCAAACAACTATTTCATCGATTACATTTTAGTGTAATTAGATAATGTGATTTGGCATTATTTGGCGATGGCGAGTTTCATAAATAAAATGCGTTTCAACGGTCCACTTGTTAAATTTTCATCACACAAATATCGTTTGACTCTTTGTAAAATAATTTCAATTAAAGGAACATTTTTGCATATTAATACAGTTATTTCAAGCTATATATATAAATTATTTTTGCATCACAATTTTTGATAGCACATAGAATTAAAAATTAAATTTTAGACTGAACAAATTTTAACTGCGTTCACCCTTCGATAAATTATTTACCTTACAACATACATTCTTACCATTTTGTAATAATGGCATTTCGGAGTCACATAATGCAGAGATCTTAGAAGAAACTGTTTATTGAACGTTTGAATCTCTAAAAAAGTGAACAATCATGTACCAAAACTATAAATATTCACAAGGTTTTAACTGGCGTTGCTTCTGGTTACGTAGAAGCCTTTGATATTTCCTCTAATTAGTCAGACATGGCTGTGATTTTTAAATCATTGCTCTTCTATTTGCTTGTTTTACTTGATTGAATAGCACAACAATGAATGAGTGCGTTCTATACTAAACTATTTTTATCTCCTAATTAAATAACGGAAATCACATGGTTAATTTCTAAATATTTCAACTTAGACTAATAACGTGTCAAAGTTTCTTAATTACTGTATGGTTTTTTTGTGATAGTTAGAGAAATATTAAAAGCAGTTAATACGAAAATACTACTTTGTTGTCTTAAATAATCCATCGGTAAATTGATAATTTATTCATTAATCATCGCCATGTTTTAGTAATCACATACGTAATCATTATCTTTTATTAATAATTAGAATATCTAAAAAGCATTTTAACTAATAATATTATTGATGTGAAAATAAAAAAAAAATAATCACTAAGAAATTCATAAGTAGTGGTAGTATTTCTACTCTTTTCTTAATGAAAAATTTAAAAATGTAGACAAAAAACTACTGAAATATTTTTTGATGTTTTAGTTTAGGTGATGCATTAGCAGCAGAAAGAAAGAAGGAAAGCAGTGGCTTCGCGTGCTGTATAAACGGATGTATGTGCGTTCGTTCCTGCTATTTAATGAAGTTGTTTTACGGTACTCTTTCTGTCATATTTCATTCCTTTACTATATTTTTTATCGTCAGGATTGATATTATTGTGACTATTATATTATAGTTATTCATATTATTGTATTTATTGTGACTATTGTTGCAATTATTGTGACTATTATTACTGTTGTTATTGTCATTATTATTCACATTATTTTGCCTAATTATGTTGCTGTTGTCATTTCACCGCTACGTTGGTTTTTGTTGCTATTTATTTTCCTTTTAGCAATTTAATTATTACATTTTGTTTTCTTATTATTTCTGTTATTTACTGCACTCTTCTTTTTGCTCTCTTTGATATTCTAATTTATGTTCTACTTCTTTTTAAATGACTTTGGTGAAATTTTTATGCCAACCTTCTGACGCAAGCCTGGGCAGCAGTAATTACGCGAAATTGCAGACGTTTTAGTCCACAGGAATGACATCTAAATTGTGATGCCCGTTTAACATGGAGGCATTTAATTCTACAGAAAATTTTTTGTTTATCTGTTTTTTTTCTTGAAAAAAAATCAAACATAGTTATTTTTATTAAACTAACGGAAATCGTTTTTGTGACCGAATTAAAATAAAGTTTTTTCTGCACATCCCTGATTTTGATGATAAAGGATGATGACGTTAGTTTATAGGAATTAAATTGGAGAAGTGAACTAGTGATTTGATTGCTTTTCCTATTGAATTACAAATAAACCGAGGTTATTTACACTGTTGCACCAGTTTAAACAATTATTAAATATGAATTCACTTTTTTTTTAAAAATATTAGTGGTTTAAATAGCATTTAATTAGCAATATAAATTTAACGGACTAATAAAATATTACATCTACACATTCATATGTACGTTCATGCTGTTCACATCATAATAAACTTATAATGGGAATTTTAATGTTAACTTTAACGTGCATTGTCTAGCTAATATAATAAATATGTTAAGTTGCTGGCTTAATGCATTAAGAAGCCAATTCTCAAACAATAAAGCAGAGAGAATTAAATTTACTGCAACGAATCATTGAAGTAAATGTTAAATGATTTTTAACAACCATGGAAATAATAAACGGACAATTCTTCAAAATAAACAGACAATTCTTCGTAATAAACAGACAATTCTTCGTAATAAACAGCCAATTCTTCGTAATAAACAGACATCTCTTCGTAACATTGCAATTATATTTATTTATAAAAAGGACAAAAAAGCCAACGTAATAAAAAATGAAAAAAAATTATTAAGCCATAAATAAGGACGGACCAGCAACTATAATGTGCAGCACAACACAGAAGGGTCATCACAAAAATTCAACCCATCCTTTTACGTTATCTTCCATTATTTCCCTCTATTTCTTACGCTTCTTTTCTGGTCTGCCTTATTTTCTTCAACCTCTCTTCTCTCTCTCTCTCTCTCTCTCTCTCTCTCTTTCTTTCTTTCTCTCTCTCTCTCCATCACATCTTCATATTCAATTATTTTTTTTAATTTTTTAAACATTGACATATTAAAGCAGCATTGAAACGTGCTCAGAGACAAAAATGTTATTTGGGTTAAAAAAAAGCGTGGAATAAGGCAGCTAAGGTTTCATTTAATATCATAAAAAGTGCTGTACAAGAAGGAATAAATTTTCAAAGGCGACCGAACATGAACAGCAAGAAAAAAAAGTTGTCCTCATTTCATGCCAAGCCCATCTTTTGATTTGTTGAGACACGAGCCACTGAGCTTGAGACGACGACATCATTTTAATTGAATAATGCATTTTTATGTTATAATTAAACACGCTATAAATGTTTCACTGATTCGTTTGTTATGGTTATGTTTATATAATTATCAATTATGGTCGTTGTATTTCTTAAAAAAATAATTTAGTACTGGGTATCCAGTATTTGGGCACATTTTCGTTTTAAACGCAGTTCATTTGTTTATCTCACTCCTAGCAGAAATCAAACGAACGACACAAAAAGCATTCAAATGTAACGGCTGTCATACGGATGAGACAGAAGCCAAAATGACTGAATTGGATTTATTGACCGATGAAAAATAAAATACACCAATTAAAGTAAAAATTTTTCTAGCAACCTTAAAAAAGGTTTCTAGCAAAGAAAGAAAAGTCGTAAATGTGATTTATGTGCAGTAGTTACTTAGATTAGTGTGATGTTTCTATTACTGTTGGCATTTAAATAAACTTTTATCAAAGAAGTTGTGTTCATCTATCGGAAATCTTGAACCTACTGAATAACGAACACTTGACGATCGTTCGAAGCTACAACACTGGTGTTGGAAATATAGAGATCATTGAAGTTATAACATCGATGCTAGTAGTTACGAGGGTCAAAGGTTACAACAATATATTAAAAGATGCTTTGAAACAATTTGAGATTTTTTCGTTTGGAAGTTTGACGAGTTAAATATAGAAACTCCTGTACGTTTGAAGTATTAAAAAGTGTGAAAAATAATAATAATCAAGAGGTGTAAGAAGATGACATCTGTTGGTTTTCCCACATAATTTATTTGAATTAAAAATAGAATAACAAGTAAAATTGATAAAAAATGAATTAAAATTAGATTAAAAACTGCAATACAGATTAATGTTCGTTTAAAGCTTGCATACATGCTTGCATACAAACACATACACTCGTACATACATACACCCATACATGCAATCATACACGCTTTATTACTTACATGTAAGCAATCATGCATGTACAAACACACATGCGTTTATATATATATACATACATACACACACATGCACACACACAACTACATACATACATATACGTACACACACGTGCCAACTGTTCTCATAAACGCGTTATGGTAGTACTGTCATATATGCTGCATGTTTTATGTTAATAAAATTTTTGTGAAATTTTGAACTCATTCACCTGAAAATACTGATCACAGTTTTCAATTTCAACATTTCAACAAAAGCAGAGGTTTGTTTAAAACTTGAAAGAATTTCTGCACTGTCAATCGAAGAAATGTGGACCAAATTAAATATACACGTTGAAACAAAGGGACTTAGCGCTCAAATGAAATTATTTCAACGACGGGAGCTAGTGAGTTCACCGGATGATTTTCAAAAAGCCATATATATATATATATATATGTACGTATGTGTGTATATATATATATATACAAATAGATATGTATATATATATATATATAT